CGTAGCCCTGACATGTCTGTGCGGGCCCCGGCGCGGCCTCCTGCGGCTCCTCCGCCGCGGGCAGAGCGGTTTTCTCCCTGCCACGGTGCGGTTTAACGCAGCTCGAAGCCTTCCCTTCTCCCCTTCCCAAGTGATTTCCCAGGGACGGCTTGGGTAGAGCTCGGGAGCTGCGTCGGGGGCGTTTTTCTTGGAGAAAAACACGTCTCGAAACGTCTTTTTTTGTTTGAAGGGCTTTACTGGCGGATATGGCATATGGATCTCGTCCAGTCTGCAGTCCTGTACAGTGTGATGACCCTCATCAGTACCTACCTAGTGGCTTTTGCGTATAAGAACGTCAAGTTTGTTCTCAAACACAAGTAAGTTTGGTGGCTGTTCGAAGTAGAATTTATTATTAAATAATTTAACAAGCCCAGCATTTACAACATTTTTTTTTTTTAATGAATAAAAGTGTCTGAAATGTTAGCAAAAAACTAAATTACACAGAAGTATCTTCTAGGGGGTTTCTGTCATCTCTCTTGTAATTATGGAGTCGGCTGGTCTTGTCAGCTAAGAGTCCGATGAAATAGCGAAACCATCTTCGTTCTCAGTGGGGATTGCCACAGACTATATCTGGCTGATGCTTTTTGTAATTTGGTTATTACTCGCTGTCGCTTCAGCTGGGCAAAACTGTTCAGTGTCTTGGCTGCGTTTTATTCTTCGCTGTAAATACAATTTCCTACAATCCTGAGGTTGGTGGTTTTTTCCATTTTTCAATTTTTACGATAAATGGTGTTTCTTACAGAGTAGCACAGAAAAGAGAAGATGCTGTTTCCAAAGAAGTTACTCGCAAGCTGTCCGAGGCAGACAACAGGAAGATGTCTCGGAAGGAGAAGGACGAAAGGTAATCCTCTCTGCTCTCTCTCCCTTGTTGTAATACGGCCTGGTATCTCCAAGGCTCTAGGTAGGATGTTAGGGACTGCTGCTTCGCTGTTGGGTTTTTCTGTGTTCTGGTAAGTAGAAGCTGCACTGTCAACTCTTTGTTCATCTGTAAAGCCTTTTGGAGGCGAGTTATCAATGGAAGGGCTCAGACATTAAGACCTTTATCAGTAAGGTCCTGTAAGGCAACCTCTCAGTCCTGGAGCTTCAAAGCAAAACAGTTACTGTACAGGCCTTCTGACAACTCTGGAGAGTCAGCATCACAGCTGTCTTTGGAAAGAAGAAAAGCTCCTTTTCTGAGGGACAGGCTGGCACAATGTATTTTGCATAGCAGCATGCGAGGTGCCTCCGAGTGGCATTTCCGTGTGCTGCTCAACTGCGCTGCTAATAGCTGGTTGTGCTCGTTACCCCTCACAGTTATAACTTGTTATGCAGATATCCCATTAAATGGCTCATGGTAGTGTCCAGCTGTGCCCAGCGAGTGTGTCAGGAAGCGCTTGGTGTTAGAGCCGGTGCCCATAGGACTGTACGAGCTGTGAGTTGATGGCCTGGCAGCTCTCTGGAGCAAAAAGCCCTGTCGTCCCTGCTAGTTGCTGGGCAACCTGGGAGCAGCCAACAGGTACAGGCTCACAAAAAGCATTACTTACAAAGGGCTGGGTTTGATGTGCCTGGTAGGAATACAACCGTTAGTCACTGAAGTGCGCAAGTGTGTCGTATATACAGGCTTTTGTCTTTAATTAATAAGTTCACTGGTAGCTCTTGCTGTCTTTGAGAAGCTGGCTGTGACAAGAGCAGCAGGACATGGTTTACTGCACCGCTGGCTGTCGGTCACTTCGTAACAGTGGGTGCGCCAGGCTGCGCAGTGGCTTAAATATGCCTGAAACAATGTCTCTGCTTGTTCCTAGAATTCTGTGGAAGAAAAATGAGGTGGCAGACTACGAAGCAACAACTTTTTCCATCTTCTACAACAATACTCTCTTTCTGGTCTTGGTCATCATTGCTTCGTTTTTTGTGCTGAAGAACTTCAACCCCACTGTGTATCCTTTATTGCCACGCTTGCACCAGCCAGAGCCCTGTGCCTACTTGTTGTCAGTAGCAGCTGTATTTCTCACGTGGGGTGTGAGATTACCCTGTTGATATGTGCAGTTCATTGTAGTACATCTCAGCTTAGAAACACTGGAGCGTAAAAATATGAAAACAAAAAAAAAAATCTCCCAATCATGTAAAAGTTTAACGTCTGGCACGAGATGTTTGAGACTGTCACTTGGACGATACGCAGCAGCTCTTACGGCTTGGCCATTTTGGTTGTAACCGTGGAATGAGGAGGCAGCTCCTGTTCTTACAGAAACCCTGTGTCGGTGGTCGTTGCCAGGTGCTCTTGCATTACAGGATTGTTCAGTTTCACTGACTTCACAAGTGAAATTGTTACTTCAGTAAATAAGTACTGCCAAGCAGGGCCACATGGGTTAATTAAAGACCTTCTGTGTTTAACTGTATTTATAAACACTTCTAAGAGAACAGGCTGAACTTCATGCATGTCTTAATTTTGAAATTAAATACATTTCAGTGTCCTGCTGAGGTCCTGATTCTAAGCTGTATTTCAGCTTACGGTGTTGCAATGTGAAAACTACAGAGGAAGGCCGTTTCAATCCCTTGTTTTTCATTAAACTGCTACTAAATGTTCTGTACAAAAGAAGTGGCATTTTTATAAGCATCTGTCC